CCGAAGCCAGCAGATGCCTCAAGCTGCACCTCGACGGACCGACCCGCAAGACACCGAGCCGTGAAAGTCTCGATTCACGCAAAGTGGGCATTCTCAGACCTAAGAACGTGTGACATGAATCTGACATTGGAGGCTCATGGCCAAAGGGTGCCAAAACGCGTGGTAAAATCCAAGCGAGGAGCCTTGGACAGTTAGGCAACTTGTCCTGCAATTGCAACTCGTATCTCGGGCAAGTGCTGTACTCTTACGGGGCTGCCTTTTTTAAAGCTGGTGACACCCACCCAAACTGCGAGCTTGCGCGGTCTACAAGACTGACGGCCGAATGCGTGCTGCCTGCAACGTCACGGCGTACCTTCGACAAACGCCACACCCGCACTTCTGTGCACGCTATTTCACTCCTGGGGTGGAGTGCAAACGCTGAACCACAGCATGAAACCGTGAACCTATTTGCTCTCAAGCCGCAGGCCCCAAATCAAAGCCACAACCTATCAACTACCCAGCCCAAGGTGAGAATGTTTCGAGGCCCCGCTTTGCGTCTCGCCTCTTTGGGCCTCTGCTCGCAGCGCTGGGTCACAGCCGTAGGGTCTGCCCAGGGCCGCTGCACGTCCAGGCGCCCCTGGCCGCGGGACCAATGCCTGGGCTGTGCGCAGGTGCCATGGCCAAAGCGACCCAAACCCGATCAACCATGTTTTTGTTGACCATGGCGAGTACTGGCAAACGCGAGGGGGCGGATGCAGGTCGCTGCGCTCCAAAGTGGGACTAACAGGTTGGTGCAGCAGGAAGGCCTGGGCATTGAACATGTTTCGCTTCACGTCTGCGTCACGTCATCAACAGCAGTTGTTGGGATTAGCTACGAGCTCATCACACAAGCAACGGCCAAACGCCCCTGCCCACGCGCACACGTCACACTGCACAAACAGCACCGGCACAACCTCACATCCAGCCACCGAAGCGTGCAAAGCAGTAAGCCCAAGCACTGCCTGGCTAAGGCTGAAGCCGCCGGGCAATGGTTTCAGACGCGTCACCCTAAGGCGCCACCCCCGGCGTCCAGCAGCGCCACCAGCTCCTGGTGCCCCAGTGGCCCCAGCTGACGAAAGGCACCTGTGAGCAGCAACTCACTCGCACGGAATGGCCAGGGGATTGATTGATCCCTTCTTGGTTGCAGGCAGCTTAGATGCTGTTTGTGTTGCTTTTGGGGTTGTGGTTGCGATCGCCGTCAATGTCACCGCGTGTGACCGCGGCCATGGCTGGGAATCGCTGCGTGTAGATATCTCTTTCAAACTCCTCTTTCGTTGCCAATATGTTCCACAAGAAGCGTCTCAACAGAAGCCCAAAACCAAAAGCGAACCAGAAGACAAACAGACTTGGCACATCGCCCCAAGCGGTGCCCCCCCCCCCCCCCCCGCGCCTCGCTCCAGCCCCGCCGCCGTGCGCGGGCTCCGCGAGGCCAGGTTCGCGGTTCTCTTCAGCAGCTCCCGAGCCTGGCCCGGGCGCTCGCGTGGCATGTGGGCCATGAGGGGCGGATGCGATTTTGCACCCTCTTTGATGGGGTGGAGGTGTTCCAACCATCCTTCCAACCAACCAAGCAACCAACCCAGCCCAGTCAAAAACACTTGTTGATGTACCCTCCCACCAAACAACATGGAACCTGACAGGCAACCCCTTTCAAAGGACAGTGGTCTTCCGTGGCAAGTTCCGTGTTCATAGCTGGGAGGGTACACAACATGACCATGACAGCACCACCACATCTCTTTGTTTTAGGCTGACTGAGCCGGCGGGCAAGCTGCGAAATTCAAACACTGCCCCACCACAATAACAAGTACAACCGCAACAGCACACCGCCGACAAGCGAGCCGACTCTGCCCAGGGCGCAACACGTCGTGCCAAAGGCTTTCAAACCTATCACCTTCAACAAAAGGTAATGCGGAGACCGTGCTAAATCAGCGGCGTGTCCCCTTTGAGCAAGCAAATGACCCATTTTGGTGAGTTCCTCTGACAAGTAGGCTCCTCCGGATTCATCCGACGCTAACATCAAGCGAATATCACAGAGACGACGCAAAAAGGGGAGCACGCCGGTGTATTCAAACATGGTGGAAGGAATGAGTGCTCAGCGCTGAAAGCGAAAGATCAAGGTGGAAAAGGAACCACGCGCCCCTGAAACTTCCACAGGCAACGGGCGAAAAGAGTGCAATGCACAGCAAGAAATAATACCCCACAAGTATCATGTTTGAAAAAAAGAGGAGAAGAAAATGCCACCACACAAACTGTTCACAAAAAAAGCAACCACCAAAAGGGGAAAAGTGCAAACACGCGTGTGCTAGAGACACATGCTTGATCAGGGTGACAAACAAGGCTGAAATCAGCAGACCTCCAAAACAGTGAGGAACCCCAAAACATACCCCCAAAGGGTTTTGCCTGGGGTGCTTCTTGTTGGTTTCCGTGAGTGCTGCCATCTTTTGACGTTCAGCAATTATTAAATATCCCCAAGAGTTGTACCTTAGATAAGCAGACCTTAGAAAACGACATCGAGGAAAGTCGAAAGGAGCAAAACAACTGAACACCAATCTGTCGGGTAACATGACAAATCCCCAGCAAGTCTCGCCCGGATGGTTTTTGTTGGGCTGTTTTTGACTTCATCGACTTCTGTTGAGAAGCGGTGTTCACCAAATATTGAACGCCCTCAAAGGTTTCGCCTGAAGATTCCCCCCCCCGCAAAAATCGGCTCCTGGCCCTCCCATGGCTTCACAAGCCAATTGGTGTGGCAGGAAAAGGGCAAGTTGCTTTTTGGAATCCCCCCACCAAAAAAAGAAAAGAAAAAAAACGAAAAGAAAAAAGGAAAACAATCAAACAACAGAAAAGAAGAAGAAGAAGAAGCGCAACAGCTTGATCCAACCAACGGTGACGCCACTGGCCTGGCCCCATCCGCGACACCTCCCGCCTCTTCGAGGCCCAACGCCTCCTTGGAGCCCAGGACCTCCGCGGCGGAGCTGAGGATCCTTTGGTACCGCTGCTCCCCACAACCTGCGGCAGGGGGGAAAGAAACCAAAAGCGGCTGGGCGAAAAACCGACCTTCAAGGCCCTAAGGGCTCTGAACCGCAAGTAAGTCTTGGGGAACTCTTTGGAGCTTGAAAAACCCGATGGCATGGGCCGTGAGATCGTTCGCACTCTATGGCGCTCATGCCGGTTCCGCCGTCCGCCTGCGTCCAGTTGCCGGAACTTCCGTGGGGTTGCTTCCCCGGGCGGCGGCGCGGCATCTGCCAGGATCGAAGCGCACCCCGAATCGCATGGCGAACGCATGGGAACACCCCGCCAAAAGGGACAAGCAACCAGTGCAGAAAAATATCCATAAATTGATATAAATTGTGTCCACCAACAGGGCCCCCAATTGAAAGCATGTACCCAAATGAGCGGACGCGACGGACGTCAAAAAGGTAACCATCGAACATTGTTTGTCAGCTCGGCCGTTCCCCGCTCTCTCGTCTGGCAAACGAAGCCGCCATTCCCCATGGCCTCGCGTGCGCACCAAATGCCGCCTTGCGCGGGGCACACCCAGATCTACTCGCACCGCGTCGATGTCTGCCAAGACCTTGTTCACGACCCTCGTGTCTTTGAACTCGCCTTAGCTTGGCCACCCCCCGACCTGGCATCAAGGCGAGGCCTGTCCCCTTTCCTATCCTCTACCCGCATGCATCGCTGGCTCCTGCAGCTCATGCGTTCCAACCCCGGGCGTTGCCAAGGTGCGGTCGACTGCTGGCCAGGCACGGCTGTGGGCATCCCTCCAGCGTTTCTGAAATGCGCGCCTGGCAAGCTCCATCGCCCGCCCCAAAGCATCGCAAGAGGCCAGAAACCAGCTAGCCAGCACATGTGTCCATACCGCGGCCTTATCCTTGGCAACCGGCTGTCGGGCCGGCGCACGCTGTCAGCAGGGCTCAGCGCCACCTCCCCGCGCCTCAGCCCACCGCCAGCATTTAGAATACTCTATTTTTGGCCCATACCCTCAAGCAAACGTATACGGGGCTCCTTGACGCATCCAAGTCGTCGTCCATCTGCTCAACCAGGTCTGTGAGAAGGGACTGGAATGCGTCATGCTCGAGGTAGCCTAGGAGAGCATTTGATCCAAACCCTTATGCAGCAGCTGGAGATCAGCACTTCAGGATTCTCAAGTCCTCCTTGAAACTTACCCCATTGCAGCAAAGTGCTCGCGCATCCCACCGTCTCCAGCCAGTTGCTGAGCGGAGTTGCCTCAAAATGCACGTTACTTTGAACATAGGAAGGGCCAATGGAGCTGGCTGCCCTTCATGCGAAGTCACGCTGGTAATGCAGGGACGACCAGGCCACTATCTGGCAACTGACTTCGCAACTGGTTGCAATGGCAAACTGGAGCACCTTTTGGGCAACATGGGGGACATACTATGGTCTACATTGCGGGCAACAAGCCCTTGCTTTGCCAACGCCACTAGCACCACCCATCATGAAGCAACAGCGGGGTCGGGCCTGGTCATAACTCGGAGGCTGCTCCATGCTATCGGAGAGCTGCTTGTCAGAAGTGGTCAGAAGGATTCTGAATGGTTCACACATGTGCTCGGACACGAGCTTTGCAAGCTCCAGCCAGTGATTCAGGGCCACCATCCAGCTATCAAAAGACGCCGTAGACTTGAAGTTTGACTTGGTCCTGGCATCTGTTCGGCATTCCGCCCTTGCAATTAAGCCCAGGCAGCAACACGGGGAACCTTGTCCGTGAAAACATCGCTCGGACTCTCAGAATGAGCGGGCATGAGTTGGCCTTTTCTCGCCGGCGGTCGTAGCATTTTGCTACACATGCACAGTCTGCTGACCATGCTGGGTGCTGGGCCCGTGCCAAGGCAGCTCTGCCGCGCACATTCACCGCGGTCGCAATGTAATTAATCATCAATGCAAGTTTGCCCCCCAAGGCAGGTGGAACTGACATGAACCATGTAAGGCCAAGAAATGCGGCGAAGGAATGGTGCACACCTGAATCTGGAACTACAATTTCCGCCCGCCCCAGGAGTTCTGCGAAATACAGGCTGGCCAAGCTGCCAACTTTTGTAAGAAATGCCAAGCCTCGCAAGGGCGGCTGGGCTTCTGTGCAAAATTGTTTTGGAGGCACAGTGATTGTGCGAACAGGCCCCACTGGGCATCAGGTTTGGTGAAACACTTTCTCTCCTAGACGGCAAGCAACTGTCTACTTTGCACATGGCATCCTGTCTTGCAAACTGCTCGGGGGATGTCGACTCTTACGGTCAAGTCCAGCGTCTGGAGACATGCCCAAAGAAGTCAAAACAAGAACCTGACAGCAAAGGCTGGGCGATTGAGTCAGGTGTAGATCGGTGTTTTTGTTTGCCCGTTGTGCTTGAGAATTCATCCTTCATAAGCTTGCAAAACCTGATAGAGGGACACGCCAAAGGGTCACGGCAACAGATACTGTATTCAAAGACATGCTGCAAGCCCAAGCCCCCCCTTAGACGGTGCCAAGCCGAAAGAGACAAAGCAACTGAGATGCAAATCATAGACTTAAGCTCCGCCAAGTTGCTTATTGCCCTTCTGAATGCAAGCAAAGCCTCAGCCAGGAGGAGCTGCACTCATCTTTGAGGACTTCAATGATGGGGTGTTTCCAAAAGACTCAAGTTGTTGACTCCGGGACAGGAACGGATCTCCCGGGCCGCAGCATGTGGCTTCAGGATTCGCATGTCAGCAATTCATTAAGGCAAGCCCGACCTTCGGCGATGTGTTCCTTGGGTACATTCAAACTGATTGCTCACTGCAAAGCCACGCAACCACAACCCACAAGGGTTGAAAGGCAGTTAGAGTTGCAGCACGCCAAGCTGGAAGCCAATTGTTCCCACAATAGCCATCGTGAAGTACACGAACTTCTGGATGACCCCCAGAGTCACCCGGGTGTCCCACATGAAAAAACCAGATTCGCTGAGCGTGAGGAACAGCGCCAAACTGTCATACTCTTCCTCTTGCATATCATTCCCGCCCAGCATGCTCACTAAGGAGGGCAGGCGCGTGCAGTGAGCCGTCGCCGAGGCGGCCACGAAGAGGACACCAAACAGCGCGATCGCAAGGCACAAATTGGGCATTGCCTGGCCGGGGTTTTACTTTGTTTTATCTGGGCCAGGCCAAGATATCCGAAACACGATGCCCGGCCTCTGACAAGCGGCCCTGCTGCATGTCGAACAAAGTGCCAAACGCGATCAGCACTATGAGTGAGCCAAGGCTGGCCTCAAGGTGATGGCTCATGCACGAACAATTCGCCACTTTACCTCCTAACTCATTGCTCTTTCTTGGCCCGCTGCATTTCAGCGCACGCACACAACCCTGAAAAATACGGAGCTAAGAAGCTGAGGTGAACTGGTGCATGCGCGAGGTCTGGCGCATGCAGCTGATGAGCTCTCGCCAATGGCCTCGGGCCTCTCGGCAGCTTAGGCGACCTCCTGCAGAGTTGGCAGCCCGCGGAGGCGTCAGGCATCGGAAGCCAAGAAGCTTTTCCAGTTCCCATGTGTAAAGAACAAATTAACCCAGCATTGCAACCCAACAGCTACACCACAACCTAGCCAAGGAAGTTGCCACCAGACTCAGCGCCCTTTTGCTTAAAAATTGGTAGCGCTTGCAGCATGCGCCTGGCACAGGAAGCTGACAGTTAAGAGCGGAAATCACATATTTCCAAGGAACAGCGGAAACGCGTTTTTTTGCTAGTTTGAGTGGGGTAGGTATGGGCAGGTGGTGCGCGGGGCAAGACCTTTGCCGAAATACGCTAGGAGGCTCTGCGCTCAATGCGCCACACTTGCGCGATAAACGCAACAATCGGGCACAGAAAGGCTGGGGCAAATTATTCCCCTTGCGCATCCCTCCCTCCCTCCCTCCCTCTCCCTCCCTCTCCCTCCCTCTCCCTCCCTCTCCCTCCCTCCCTCTCCCTCCCGCCCTCTCCCTCCCTCCACGCGGAGAATACCAAGACATTGTTTAATGTGATGGATGTCTAACTATGTTTAAACAATATCTGGTTCCGTCCGGCCACATCCCTCCCCCCTTCTGGCCGGGCGAAGTCAACGAACTAGCCACGGCGCTAAGCATGTTGAAAAGCACAAGACGTTGTCTAGCACATCCATTGATAACGCCTCCCGGAAATTTCGAACAACACTTTGCGTTGCACAACACGTGGCTGCACGCTCACGCAGCTCCCCTTCGCAGATTGCTCTCCACTGCTTGTGTTGCTCCAGCGGCCCATCGATATTTGGAGTGTTTGCGCGGCACGGGGCAGCCACTTAGATGGAAAAAACACGTGCAGCCACTTAGCCACTTGGCCGTGGCTGAGTGGCTGAGCGGACAAGTGGCTGAGTGAGTGGCTGAGTGGCTGGGTGGCTGAGGTTGCGCGGGTGAGCGACCGAGCGGCTGAGTGGCTGAGCGGCTACGTGGATGAGCGACCGTGGATGAGTGGCTTGAACGGCGAGCGACAGAGCGGCTGAGTGGCTGGGTGGCCGAGCTAAGTGGCTGAGCCGCTAAGTGGCTGAGTGGCAAAGCGGAGCAACGACCCCAACCTCGAATCCCGATGTGGTCGACCCCAACCTCGGGCCCGAAGTGGTCGACCACAACCTTGGGCCCTTGGGCGCACCACAACCTCGGGGCTCAAGGTGGGCCCCGAGGTGGTCGACCACAACCTCGAGCCCTGAGGCGGTCGACCACAACCTTGGGCCCCGAAACCACAACCTCGGGCCCCGAGGTGGGCCCCGACCTCGGGCCCTGAGGCGGTCGACTCAACCTCGGGCCCCGAGGTGGTCGACCACAACCTCGGGCCCCGAGGTGGTCAACCATAACCTCAGGGGTTTGCGTGTGGGACATGGTTGATGACGTTGTTGTTTTGTGTCTTGGGTTTTTGCGAATTCTCGATCGAGGTTTCCTGGAAACTTGCCTTTACTCAGGGTTTGTGGGGAAATTCCATCTGTTGTGTCGCCGTGTGTTTTGTTAAAATCGAAAAAGCAAAACAAAAAACAAAACAAAAAAAACAAAAACAAAAAACAAGAAACATCGAAAAGTTCAGGCCCTCCGCGAATGTTGGTAGGAAGTGTGCTACAAGCAAACAGACTGTTATAGCAATTACTTAAGCATAGTAACGTGTAATTGGGTGGGATCGGGGATGAAACTTGCAAATTCCAAGGCTCATCCAATGACAACACGGCAAACATTATGAATTTAAAACATCGAAAAGTGCGAAACGCGCGAAAGCTCAAAGAACACAAACGAACATTCAAAACTCAAAATTCGAAAAAAAAAAACAAAACATTTGAACGACAAACGCAACGCGTGAACATTCAACAAAAACAAACAAAAATGCAAAACATCTGGAAAACACAACTAGCGCAACAAATCCTGGAAACAACGACAACCCGAAAATTCGCAAAAACCTGACAACGCAAGGAGAAAGCAGGAAAACTTGAAATCTCATCATGTGTGTTTTTGTTTCTCATGCTTTTGAGTGCTCATGTCTTTTCTGAGTTTGCACCTTGTAGTTTCAAACGAGATCCATTTGGGAATTGGTGGCTGGCATGTTGTTATTTTTCATTTTTGTTTCTTTTAAATTGTGCATTTACTGCGTTCTTTTTTGTGTTTTTTTAGATGTCCTCGAAGTTTCATGTGATTTTCCTAGAATTGCACTATCCCTGCTATTAAATTTGATATTGTAAATACTTACTCCTAGATTTACAGAACTTAGCTTAGCGCTGCCAACCCTAAATGTAGTATTGCCGAGACTGAATCTTCGGTTTCCAGTACTTATCTTAGCACTGGCAATTTTAAATTTTAGAATTGCCAAGGCTTAATCTCAGACTCCCACCTGTTGAAATTAACCCTTGCGGCCCTTGATTGTTGAACATTTGCTGTCAGTGATGGTCAGGGCTGATGGCCCCCCTCTTAGTTCGCAAATGGACCCTGCCCGTTGGCAGCAAATTTGTAGAGCACATGGCGCACGCATGTCTGTCATGTAGCAGCCCTCAACATATCCTAGAACCTAGGTGAACGTCCTGTGTTTGTATGTTTCCATGAATGTCCTGAGGTTTCTCTGGTCGGTCAATGAATGTTCTATGACTTGTCTATGCGTGTTCTACGCGTTTTCTATGCATGTTCTATGTATGTCCTATGCACTTGCGCATGCACTTTTTATGCGTTTTGATTCTTAGGAAGTACCTACGTATTTCTTATGCACTTCCCCTGATTTTCTACGCGCTTTCTATGCGCTTTTTTCAACATGCATGAGCACGTGCATAGAAAATGCAGAGACAATGCATCGGCAACGCGTATAAACTTCATACAAAATGCATGAAAACCAAACAACTATCTTCAGACACTTGCCCGGAGTTTAGCCAAAGGAATGCTGACTGTTTCAACAGTGAGGGTCAGATTGGCCATGTAGCTTAACCATGTCCCAAACGCAAATCCAAAACACACACTAAATCCAAGGTTCAGTCTTGGCAAAAAAACAAGAATTGCCAATAGTAGGGAACGGATGGGAAATTCCGAAGGAATCTCGACAACCTCCAAAGATTGCAAAACGGAACGCAGCACATGCAACATTCCAAAGAAACCCGAAAACACAAAAAAGAACAACACGTCGCCCAGTACATTCGGGATCGCCAAGAAATCGCGAGAAGTCAAAAAATGAGGAAAAACAAAAGTCCCAACATGTCAGCAGCCATGTCCCAAATGGACATTCAAAAAATGCAGAATTCCAAGCAAAAAACAAGACAAAACACAAAATATGCCAGCAACCATGCCCCAAATGGAAGTTCCAAAGAAACCGTCAGTGTGTGCTACCCACAAATGGAGCAAACAAAAACACTTAAGGTTTTCAACAGGCAGCCCCTCAATCAAATCCTGTCCCTTGACAAAAATGTCCATTGAACTTGTGCCAAACTTCGAGCACGTATGCTGCCCACACAAATGGAGCAAATAGAAAACTTATCATTGTGCTCTTTCATTTCGGGTCGCGCGTCTGCCACCCTTGCATTTTACAGACTTTTCAAAAACAGCAGCGCCGCCCCATCCACCCACACCCAACCGTTACGAATTGCGTACCCCGTTCCCTCCCCCCCGAACGAACCCTTGCATTTCCAAACTTTCTCAAGAAAGCAGCGCCGCTCCCCCTCCCCCTCCTACCCGTTCCGGATTGCGCACCCCGTTCCGCATCGCGCCCCCCCAGCCGAACCGTTGCGTTTCCAAACTTTCTGAGAGAAAAAGGGGCGCCACCCCCGCTCCCCCTCCTACCTGTTCCGCATTGCGTACCCCGTTCCGGGTCGCTCCCCCCCCCAACAAACCCTTTCATCTTCAAAACGTCTCAAAAAGCAGCGCCACCCCCTCCCCCTCTTACCCGTCCCGGATTGCGTAGTGCCCCGTTCCGGACCGCGCTTCCCCCAACAAACCCTTGCACTTCCAAACTTTTGCGAAAAAAAGCAGCGCCACCCCCCCTCGACTTCTACCCGTTCCGGATTGCGTACCCCGTTCCGGATCGCGCGCGCCCCTCCCTCCCTCCAACAAACCCTTGCATTTCCAACATTTCTGAAAAAGCAGCGCCACCCCCCCTCCCCCTCGTAACCTGCTCCAAATCGCGCACCTCCCCCCCCCCCAACAAACCCTTGCATTTTCAAAATTTCTGAACAAAGCAGCGCCACCCCCCCTCCCCCTCCTACCCGTTCCGGATTGCGTACCCCGTTCCGAATCCCCCCCCCAACAAACCCTTACATTTTCAAAGTTTCATTTAAAAAAAGAAAGCAGCGCCACTCAACCCTGCTAGAGAGATTGTAACCCAACATCTGGAGGCTGTTGGGAGCTTACCAAACCCCTCACCTCAAAAAAGATCTGACTTTTGTCAGTCACAGCAATGGGGCCCAACTACCCAGCAAACTATGATATTGCCGCGCGTCGAACCTCCAACCCGAGCCAACATCCCTTTCTCCCTTCTGCTCAACCCACACCCTTTGGCACGCACACGTTGGAGCGCCCAACCGCTCAAGCAAGGGCCCACCTGCTTGTTTGAAAGTGAGGCGCCGCAGGCCAAAATCTCAATTGTGCAAAGAAGAGAAGACACTGGCAGTTCGACCCTTTGCGTTCTATATTCGATGACATCTCCGATGATAAGTTCAGCGCTTGCGCCGTGCTGTGCTTTCTCGTCAGGCAACCAGAGCGAATTGCCCAAGCCTGTCCACGCGCTTGTGGTCCGGGCGTGGGGCTGGAATGTTTGCAGCTGGTGTCCAGCTGCTGCGACTGGCTTCTCCGATTGCCTTTCGACAACTTCTCTGCGGGTTGTCTACGGCATCCGTCAAAGTGGTGCCCAGGCGCTTTGCTTTGCGCGCCACTCACGAACTTTCTTGTAGACTCACGGTTAGATTAGCGCGTTTGCCTAAGCTAAATTTCACGTTGCACCTTGCAGATTTTAGTTGGACATGCCGGAGTAGCTTGTGTCGTGCTTGCGCGCGTGTTCCAGACAACAATGGAATTTCAACATAGTTTATGCCAGGTTTAGGCCCGCCCTTCTGGGAAGAAGACCGTATTGCACATCCATCCATCCATCCGTCCATCCATCCATCCATCCATCCATCCAAGCTAGAGATAGGGCATGCAAGGGATACTTGCATCTTCTTGAAAGGTTCGAAGGCCAAATTTCTACTGACGTCCGCCTTGTTGGCGCGGTCTGTCTTGAGCGTCTGCGTCTCCGCCTGGCTTCTCCGCGATCGACTCTGTCACCTTGTTGTCGCGCGCCCTCTTCATGCGCTCAAGAAAGACCTGTCGAGCCCGTGCATCCGCCACATCCGCTGCGCAGAAGCGAGACAGGCTCGGCGGGACAATAGGATGAGGCCCGAGAACAAGCACAAGAAGAACTTTTGCCAACTAAGCGGGCCTGAGAAATCCCGCCTGCCACTCAAGATGCTCGGTGAGCGAAGAAGTTCACAGCAATCGCTTTTTGATTCACGGGGGCCTCACGTGTGACTATGGTGCTTGCTGCGCACGCGCCGGAGTCTCGCCGTAAAGCCCTGGCTCAGTCCAACCCCGAGCACCCTTGCTCGTCCACGTGCGACTGTGGAAAGCTTGAAGCGAGGTGCCCTTTTAACGAGTCCGTGCTTCCTCCATTTCCAAACTGCCGACAGGACACTCAACCTACCACTTTTGGATCAATCCCCTGAGCCAAAACTGGCATGGCTGGCACTGCAGTCAGAAATGATTGCCTGAGCACCCAAGCCTTCCAGACCTGATTCCGGAAATATACATGATCCATGTTCGTGAGCAAGAATCAGTTTGAAAAAACCCTGTCCTGAGAGCGCCTGAGCGAAAGCCACGATCATCAAGGTGATCCCACGCCATTTGGAGATTTGCAGGACGCAAGCACTCAAAAGGCACGCCAGCCTAAATGCATAGCCAAACAAGCGTGTATAAGCGAGTGAGGTAAAACGCCCTTCATGGAACCACAGGTAGGCCCCCACCGAAGTGGACCAAAGCAGGAATGCAGATGCGACATCACGGGCCCGCTGCTGCCGCCACCTGTACTTCAAGCCTGCATGCTCCATGTAGCGCGTAAGGTAGTCTGTCAGTTCAAACTGGGCACTGGCTGTCGTGAAGTAATTCCTCAAGCCCCCGTAGGAGCTCAGCACCGCCAGCGTACCCAATCCTGGGCAAGAGTTCCGACTTCCCTGCTCGAACCGAGTCCCCGTGGCAGTTGAGGCAGAAATGGGCCCTCTGGTTTCTACCCCGGCAAGCACGGAGATCCCCGTCCTGCCGCCGCGTCGGTGAAGAGCGTGTACGTCCGCGAGCGCCAGCTGACCTCCACATCGAGGTCCACATGCTGCCAGGAGCTGAGGCCCAGGATGGCATCCGTACAGACCACCACCGCCAGCAAAAGGACGGCGCAATGATACGCCTTGGAGGTGGCCAGCGCCCAGGGCCTCACCTCCTCTCCCTCCTCCGTCTCCTGAAGGCACAGCAACGTCAGAACAAAAGCTGGCACCGTGAAACGTGCCCACCCGCACTTGCCGTTTTTGTCTTTTTGTTCTTCTTCTGGTTTTCTGTTCTTTTTTCTCTTTTTTTTTTTTTGGGGGGGGGGGGGAAGGGCACCGTCACAACAAATTCCTGCCCCTCTCCAGCCCCCCAGGTGCAAACCTCCGGCAAAGCCATTGAAGCAATTTCGCGCTGCTACAGCTTTCACTCTGCCACCTCTTGCCCCAGTCCCAAGCCGTCCTCTCTGGATTGCACCAGCGGAGCAAGGCCGCACAGGCGAGTGCAAGCCTCTGAAAGCGCCAAGCAGCAGCTGATGGCGCAAGCCTCCCGCACCTCCTCATCCTCAACGAACTCCGAGAAAACGGCCTTCGATAACGTTGGCACTGTCGGGCTACCACCTGAGAGAGAGCAGTGCTCACCCAGGTGAAAGCCCCAAATGGAATACTGGCACGGCCAACATCGGCCAACTCCGCGCAACAAAGACATGGGGCCAGGAATCGCCACTCTCTTTGCATCTCCCGTGCCTGGGGCAGGGATCAGCTGCGACTCTCGCTGTCGGAAGAGCTCCGTGAGGCTGAACTCGTCCCTGCGGCTTGCAGCAACGGACACCTGGCAAGCAAGGCAAGACAGCGGAATCAAGAAGCTGGTGTCGCCCAAGCAGCCAACCAGCCAACGACTGAAACTGAGGCGCCCGCCTGGCGCCCGAACTGGTTCAACTCTCCGTCGAGTTGGAGGCCATCCAAGTTGCTAGTGGCATGCGGCAGGGTCACCCTTTCAGGCGCGGGCTCTGAAGGAGCTGCTGGCGCCAGCTCTGCAGGCTTTGGCTTTGCTGGCTCTGCAACCGGCTTCTGTGGCTCTGAAGGCGCCGAAGGGCTGACTTTGCCAAATTCACGGGTTTTGTTTGATCTAGATTTGCGCCAGTTATGCTTCGCCTTCATGATCTTCCCGCCCAAGATCGTCTCTATCTCGCTGAAACCCTGCGCTGACGGGGTGGGGGAGGAAGACGAGCGCCTGACAGGGTGAGGAGAGCACCCGCTCTTTGGGCCCAAGTGTTCCACATTCCGGCTTCAGCCCGTGCCTGGAGTTGATGGTGTTCAATGAGTGTCGCTTGCAAGCTGCCATCTCGGTGCCCGGGCTGCCGGGCATCAACGACTCCAGGGCGTGGTTCAGCTTCTGCTCCACCCGTGACATCCAGGCGCTCAGGCGCAGCTGCCCATCGATCACCTCCTGGCACATCAGCTTGATGGGCAGGATGTGTCCTGAACCAGCGGGTGCAAGCAGAGAAAAGCAGCGGCACCACAAGACATCAAGAGCACAAACAGGACATCAAAAGCACGGGTTCAGTGCTTTTGATAACCCGCCTTCATAATCTTTGATACTGTCCACGCTGCTGGACACTGCGCTGGAGGACTGATGTACCTTCCCTCGCTCTTCCATGCTGGCCGACAGGTTTTCAATAGAAGCCGAACCCGCTCTCAAACCTCAGCTGACAGCCGATGCTCCAAAACCTTGTGTTCAAGGTTTCCACCGCAGTTCAAGGTATGCTCTGAAAGGGTTGCATGAGTTCTCTAGATCTTCGCAGCGACATGTGCTATGATTTGGCAGTTGTCGCTTGCAGCGCTTTGCAGCAAGCGGCTTCCAAGAGAGAAACTGAGTTAGGTGCATGCCCGGGTAAATATTGCCGAAAACGTAGCCCTCCGGGCTGTACAGCTTATCCCCTCAATCCCTTCCTAAAGGGCAGGAGATATGCGCATGGACATCATGACCGCCGTGTGGCAGCTGGCAACGAGAACCGGCGATAGTGTTCCCCATGTTGGATCGGAAGGACAGGTCATGCCACGTTTCAGGGTTGGATGGAAGCCAATATTTCGGCCTGTGACCTTGGGCGTGCCGAGTTTACGTGGCAGGCCAAGCAGCTCTCAATGCGGGGCGGTCGCGGCCGCCCGCGCAAGTTGTCCTCCCTCGGGCTGGAGTCAGCACTCCTGCCCGCCATGAGCGCAGGGTCGAGCCTCTTGAGCTGTCAGTTGCTGTCAGTTGCAAGTGAATTTGTGCTGGGCTTAAAGGCCTAAGTCCATCACTCTGCGCTGCCTGTGTGCTTTTCACAAAACATCCGTAGAAAACGGGCCGCGCTTTGCAGCCTGAGGCGATGTTTGCCGTTTCGTGCTCTGTCAGAGGCCGAGAGCTGCGGATCCGAGCAGACACATGTGACTCAGACTGCATCTCTGGCTGCCGGCCGTTTCACCCGGAAATTAAAAAATGGCACCACGCGCAACTGGCAAGCCTCACACCCAGAGTGCTTTTGCCATACGAGCACACGCCAAGGAAAAACTGCCAGCGCTCGGATGATGCAGCCCCGAGCTCCATTGCACCCAGGGCTCATCCCTCGTTGATCCGAAGGGCCCGTCGGTTGGCACTGGCGCCGGTGCCATGGAAAAGCCCTGCCTTCGCAGAAGCGCAAGCGCCCGGCCACACCACAGGTCCAAGCACCGTCACACAAAAGCAACAAATGCTATCTGAGGCCTGCCCCACTGAAAGAACAACAGCCCACAGGCTCAAGCAAAGGCATGCTTCTGAACAGGAGCCAGGGCAATCATGCTGCCGCAGGTAGCGACAAGGCCTTTGAGCATGTTGGGAGCCAGCTGCATGTCCGCAGATTTCATTGGGGGACCACATTCATGTCATTTGCATGCCCTTCAGCTCAAATAAACCCCTGGCTCAGCTCAACGTCGGCCAAGCAAAAGCACCAGCGCTCCGCGCACTTCAGCGGACACCGTTCTGCCGCACTTTCGGCGGCGGCGGCGGCTTAGGGGCAGCCGCAGTGGCGGCAAAGTCGAGCGGAACGGCCACAGCCAGCAACGCTGCTGGTTTCACTAGGCAGGGCTCCTGAAGCCGGGAAGCGGCGCGTTTGTTCGGCTTTGACAAGCACATGCGCTTCTTCCGAATTGCCTTGAACTTACAACTCCAATTAATGTCGGCAATTCTGGAAGCTTGAGGGCCCCATACCCTGGTTTCTGATGACCCCCTAAAAAGAACGCGACTCAGTAGGAGACAGGCACAAAAGGATCGACTTGCGCCAAAAGGTGGCTGCTACGCACGGGCGGCCAAGGGGCATAGGAGGCCTTCCACTTTCCGAAGGTCTTGCTCTGCGCGAGCATCTTGTAGCTGGCAGGCTCGTCCACGAGCACCGAGAAGCAGTGAGTGAGGGCACAGCCCTCTTTCAGACCCAGCTGCTCCTGTAGCTCCTCGTGGGAGTAGCGGCCCCAGCCCAGTGGCTGAAGGGCCACCGAGATCTTTCCATCTATGCCTAAGCGAAAGCCGTGTCCAAAGGCCTTTTTCTTTTTGCAAGCATCTCAAGAGAGAGAGAGAGAGAGAAAGAGAGAAAGAGAGAAAGATAGAAAGAGAGAAAGAGAGAAATAGAGAAAGAGAGAAAGAGAGAGAGAGAGAGAAAGAGAGAAAGAGAGAAAGATAGAAAGAGAGAAAGATAGAAAGAGAGAAAGAGAGAAATAGAGAAAGAGAGAAAGAGAGAGAGAGAGAGAGACAGAGAGAAAGAGAGAAAGATAGAAAGAGAGAAATAGAGAAATAGAGAAAGAGAGAAACAGAGAGAGAGAGAGAGAGAGAAAAAGCAGCTTCCATTTTATCTTTTCTTGGATTTCTGGGGGGGGGGGGTCTTGGCAGCTCCCGGCCTGGCAGCTTGCTGATGGCCTCCACCGCCTTCTGCATCTTGGCCATTTCGTCCCCGTCCTCCTTGACCGAAACCTTCAGCTGCAGGGCGTGCAGCACCAGAGTGGGGTCGCGCCTCTTGGCATTCACCAGGTCCAGCCCCAGCGCCGAGGTGAAGAAGAGGCTCTTCCGGGCAGGCGAAACAGCGGCACGCCAGCTGGAGCAGTAGCCCTCGCTGCTGAGGAAGCCTTTGAGGGCAGTCATGCTGTCCGCAACCACCACCAGCATGTGGGTCATGTCCTGGCTGGCCTGCGCAATCTCTGGGGCTTCCTTGCCCAGTGCATCCTGCGGGGTTGCCTTGTTTATGTTGTTTTTTTCTTTTTTATCACCGAGGGGCCAACAAATCCCCCCCCCCCACCCACCCCCCCCCGGCCTTGTCCAGGTGCCGGCTTCCGATGCGCTCGAAGGAGCACAGCACGCTGGAGGAGCCCAGCTTCTCCAGCACCGCCTGGATCTTCCGCAGCTCACCCTCCCGCAGGCCAGGCATCGCGTAGACCCCCACGTGCAGCAGCCGCTTCAAATAGCCCAAGGGAGGCTCGTCATCCCGGCCCCACTCCTGCATGCACAAGCTCCTGCCATTGTGCACCATCATCAGCCTGGGGGGGTGGTCCTTGGGCCAGTCTGCTTCCAAACCAATGGGCGCACTCACATAGCGCACGCCGGCATGCATCTGCGCATAGCGGACACGGCCATGCCCGTAAACGTGCAACTTGCTCTTGACGGCCCGGGCTTGCTCATCGATCATGTCACATCCAACGGCTTTCACTGCATTTTTTCTAGTCTTGTCGAAAGGCAGGCCTTGTCGTGGCAAGAAATGAGAAAAGGTGATCACAGTATCAAAGCCTCGAATGTCTAGGAATGGCTCGTTCAGCTTCATCATGTACTTCCAAAGCTGAAGGTCTGCATCCATAGGCCACACACATCGCAAGTTGAATCTTGCATTCGGATCTGGGAATGGATCCTCTTGGTCATACTCCGCACTGCACCAGGACAGCAGAGGCATCACCAGCAAGCCCTCGCAAACTGGAGCGGGGAAAACATCAATGCCCAAATCATCACACGCAGTGAATATCTCGTTCAGTTTTGAGAGGGAGTCTGGATACCGTGCAAACTCTGAGGTCATGATCTGCATCTCATGGTTGCCTACTGTGTAAAAAACTCGCCGGAATTTGGACTTCAGGGTTGTAAGGGCTCGCATCACCCCAACCTTTGTATCTGCAACATTTCCAGCCACAATCAGCACGTCGTCCAGAAACGCAAGGTCATCAATGCCGTGGGCCCAATCCTCATTACATTTCTGGTCGAAATGCACGTCCGACAGGGCAAAAACTCTGGATGAGCCCTTGCTCCTTCGAAGGTCCAGCCAGAAGCGGTTTTTGTACCGGGCAGTCGCTGAGCTTGACTTCCACACCAGCATCTCTTTCAAGCAGGTGTTGCGGCCTTTGATCGAGGGCTTGTGCTCTGAACTGAGATGCACGCCCCTGGCAAACTGAATGTAAGCCTCCTGGTGGCAGCCACTTCCCAGAAGTGCCACTCCCAGCTGCGCGTGAGCGCTCGACAAGCCTGGCTGTGCTGCAATGGCTTCCCGGCCATCTGCAACTGCTGCATCCCAATTGCGCACCCTGCAGAATGCAGCGGAGCGGTTGGTGAAGAGCACGCCCCTCAGCAGCGCATGCTCATCTGGCCGGTCCGCTTCGGCCGTCACCTGCGGCGGCAGCTGAGCGATGGCCTGGGTGTAGCAGGCGATGGCGCGGCCCAGCTCCGCCCCGCGCATGGCCTCGTTGCCCCGCTCCTTGGCGGCATGGGCCGCATCGGGGTTGGGCCCGTGGAGCTGCCGCACGGCCGCCTGCAGGGCCTGCACCGCGGAGATCAGCGGCTCCATCTCCACAGACTTGGCGTAGGCCTCAGCCGCCTCCGCGCACGCCTCGCTCCCCAAGTCCCAGGCCGCCTGCCCCAGGCGGCTCCAAGCCCGCGCCCAGCGCGGAGCCAGGCGCGTGGCCTTCCGGGCATGGCTCACTGCTGCGCCGTAGTCCTTGATACGGACGAAGCAGGCCGCGCGGTTGGAGAGTAGTTTTGCAGCCTCAGGCACCAGATCTGGGCCTCTGCCGTGGTCCACCACCTCCTCTGCCTCCTCTTCCTCCTCTTCCCCCTCCTCAGCTCCCTCAACCTCTGCCTCTGATGGGAGCTTCACTTTCAACTCTTTCAGCCTCTGCGCATAGGCAGCGCAGGCAATCCAGTAGTTGCCCTGCTTGAATGCCTTGTCACCAACGAACTTCCAAGGCATAGCCCGGTCAGACCGCAACAATGCAATGCGGTCGTCGAAGACTGCCTTAGGAAGCAAAGACCGCGGCAGCACTGCTCGTGCATCCGGCAACAAGAAGAAGGCAGTCTCCTTCAAAATGGTCGTCAGCTTTGCCTTCAGCCGATCCCAGTCGCTTGCAGCTTTCTTCTTGCCGCAGGCCGGACAGTCCAGACTGACTACAAAAAGACCGGAGCCTCCCAAGAACAGGAGGCTGCTTGGCGGCTTGGTGAACAGCTGAATCGGCTCGCCCAAAGGCCTGCACGTTCCAAAGAACAGTTCTCCTGAGAATGTCCCACATTCCAATTCTTACTCGAAACATACTTCGGCTCAATTCGCCGACTCTCAGCACCTTCAGTCTTCAGCCCACTCCAGCCCCCTGGCCTGAGCAGCACTTCCCGGCGCAGTGTCTCATTGAGCTCTCGCTTGCGCTGCCGGCGCTCCACTAGCTCTTGCAGCATGCCGCCAGGCTCAGAACCTGTCGATCAGCCAACATGCCGAGTACAACTGAACCAACCTGACCCACCCGTCTCAGGCTCAGCGCGTATCTTGCAACATCCAAAAAGCGAGGTGCATCCATCTGCGACTCTCCCGGCCAGCTCGCCTGCAGATGATTTGAAGCCACCACTTGGAGTCAGGCCGAACTTCTCCAGGAAAGCCCGACGGCCGGGGGGCGATGCGGCCGGGGCTTTCCGTTCCGCCGCAGGAGACTGCACAGCGGGCTGGAGCACACTTAATCATAGCATGCCCTATGATTATGCTGCATGTCTGCGCTGTAGCTGACTCACTGCACTCTTCACATGCACAGCTCACCTAACTCTTGAGTTTTAGGGGTCTATTCCGGACTGCGCAACTGTGCATTACTTGTCCTAGTTGCCTCACCCCTTGTCCGCCCCATTTTAAGACTCCTAACTTGCAGTGGCACAGCTCCGCATCGCCATCCGAGCCTTCGGTCCCAGCAGCAGCTTCAGCGCCAAGGCCAGGGTGCCAGACCCCACACCGAGACCGTCCATGCGAAGCAGAAGGTCTCCCTCCTACAGGCCGTTTGACTGAGCAAAGTCGCAGGCCGGCTCGGCCAGCCGCTTGAATTGGCTTAGCGCGCCGAACCGCCCTGTCCTCTGCGAGCGCACTCGAGCCGAAGAAAGGGTTCCTCGGCCGCTGGCTTGGCCATGCGCAACATGCCATAGCCATGGCCTCCATTTCACAAGATGCTATGAACTCTGAAAGGTTTGGTATAGGTTTGGTGTAGCTGACCCACTATGGCCACCGCTGCTGGGGGTGCAGACAACTTCTCGAAAGGCTGGGAGATTATTATTTTCGCCCGTTGCAGGGAAGCATCCGTCCCCAAAGGAAGATGTGGCGGCCGGCAAACACCGACAGCGAGGCCGACAGGTAGGGCTCGTGCCGCAAGGAGGGCCCCAGCCGAAGGCTCTCGCGCAGTCTCAGGTTCTGCCCGTCCCGCTCCAGCTCCAGGTGCGGCTTCGACGAGAAGACGAAGCCTCAGTCTCAGTGACTCAGGCGTCGCAAAAGGAGAAACCATGGGTCGCTCAGGGCCGCTCTGTTGCCGCAAGTCGCCACGAAAAATGCCCTGTCGTCAATATGGGGTGATTCTTCCCGGTGGAAAGCGCCAGCAAATGGCTCCGCAAAAACATCTCCCTCGGCCTTCGGCCCCCTCCGAGCAGCGGATGGTGTCGGCCTCCCGCTGCTCGTGTTGGTCCCCCTGGCGCCGGAACTCTACCGGGAACGGCTGCTCGGCCCCCGCCGGCAAGTCCACTCTGAAGGTCTTCGGCTCCTCCGTCACTCACTCTAAACTTTGTTCCGTCGCGGCAGAGTCCAAGCTGAATCCCGAGAGCTATCTGACGCCTCATGAAGCACCAACAGGGTAGGGCGCCCTAGCCATGGAAAAACAGAAACTGGCTGAAACATCCTTTTCCAACGCGTAGCCTAGACAGAAGTACACGACACATGGCTCGCAAGCACCAACACGAGAAGAAGAGCGAGTAGATCATCTGCATTGCCATGCTTGCAAAAGCCCAACAAGACTCACATGCCGGCCAGGCCCTGCAACGCCCAGCCAGGCGCCTCCGTGAAGCCACCGTAGCTGCGATCCTTCACCAAACGCGTGCGCTTTAGGGTCTTCTGACCCCCGAAGACAAACTTCTCGATCCGGCAGTGCACTGGCACTGAGATGACCTAAGCTGTGTGTGTGTGTGTGTGTGTGGGTCGAATGGCTCAAACCCGAGATGAGACTGGCCCAGGCCTCGCTGGGCAACTTCTTGTTGTCCTGCGCAGGGCTGCAGTGGGCCAACGTTTTTCCCCCTCCTGCAACAGAGCTACAATTGCTGCGTTACCCTTTTGACTGTGGCCATGTACCACTTACGCATCTAAGAAACCTCTCCTTGGCTTTCTGCATCATCCGCTGCAGGGCCTCGCCGGCGTCAAAGCCGTTCTTGTCTTGAGGCTTCCTGCCATTGGACTGCGCAGTCACAAGATCTCTGTCCCGCTCGAAGTCATATTGCCGCCGCGTGGGGTCATCGCTGAGCAACTTGTAAGCATTCTTGATTTCCATGAAGATGGTGGCTGCCTCATCCTTCTCCTCCTGCGTTTTGCCGGTCTGCTTGTCAGGGTGGTAGTTCAGGGACAGCTTCCTATATGCCTTCTTGATGTCCTCGTTGGTGGCATAATCATCCAAGCCAAGCGTCTTGTAGTAGTTCACCGACCTGTCGTACTTGAAGGACTTCGGCGCCTCGAAATCGGAGTCCTTCGGCTTGAAGCTCGGGTCGCTCTGAGCGCGCTTCTTGTCGCGCTCGCTGAACTGCTGCCACGCCTTCTCATCGATCTCCCTCATTCGTTGCATGAAGGGGCTCTGCTGAAATCGTCCTGGGATAGAACTTGGCCACAAATCGGCTAAAGAGTCCACGTCACCTGTGACGAACAGAATGAGCTGCCTGTCTGCGAACAAGCTGCTTCGGTCTTCATCAGTTGTCTCCGGCCTTGCTCGCTCTCCCAGTCGGGCGACTTGATCCTGCCGGTAACTGAAAGAACTGTCCTCAGCTGCCAGCTGTCAAGCCCTTCCTTAACGTGGAAGCTGCCCAAGTCTTGCCAAGCTGCATAAGTCGTGACCTCAGAAAAAGGTCGCCCTGTGCAAGTTGCTCTTCCAAGCACCCCACTAGATTTGAACAGTGGCCAAAAGCCTGCTTCCCAGACAACCCAAGAGCAGTTTTTGTTGGTATGGTTTAGCATTTCAACACGGCTCTTTTTACAAACCCGTTTGCCTGCTTCTGTGATGAAAGTTTGGAATTGCAAAAGCTGAGCCCACACTGTTCACCGTCTTGCAAAACAACATGGCGTTCGGGGGGCGAGTAGCGTTTGGGCATTGCTAGCTTCATCTTACCTGCATTACGAAGGTATTCTTCAAGAAACTGCGAGCGCGCAGTCTACTGCATCCCTTGGCTGCCTGTCTCCAAGCTCTGGGCAGACATGGTGTCGAAGGCTGCCAAGGGCACCGGTGGAAAATATAGAGAGCGCACTTGGACTCTGGGATGCTGTTGGTGCAGTTTGCTAGGCTGCTTGTGGCTTGCTAGCTTTGGCTGCTGGGCTGCCCGGTCGTTTGTTGCTTGGTGTCCTAGTTGCCTGCAAGCTTGGGTGCTTACATCGATTGTTTGGGCTGGCCGGGTCAGTTTCTTGGCAGCTCTGCCAGTCTGCTGGTTGAAGTGGCTACTTCTAGTTTGGTCGTTTGTGTGCATATGGGGGGGGTGATAGTTTGTTTGCAGTTCTACTTTTTGCTGGCTGTGCCCCGGCATCCCAAGCTGGTGTCATATTGGGCGGTCCCCTGCAATTCCACAACCGTGCTTCACAATCAATAGGCTTGCTGCTGCCAAAATGGCTGTGGTCATATGGCTTCTTTGCTGCGGTGGCTTGCACACTCCTCAGTGACATCGCTCAGGGAAAGGTCATCACCACTCAGCGTCATCCCTGGTTTCTCCAGGGGTCCTACCCTTGCCTTGAACATGACGAAACCTGAGGACTTTTACATGTCGATCACTTCTTTGAAGTGAATCTAAGCCTAGTCCGACTTCTAACGCCGCTGGCACAAAAGCGCCAGGATGCGAGCTAGCCGGGTTTGCTTTCTTGAAGGTCCTGCACATGTGAGCTTCGAATCCTGACGCTACGAGATTATTCTGGAACCAAGCCTTGACAGTTCAAGAAAATGATTCCGCACGCTCGAAGAAGTCCCTGGCAGAGTGGTGTGCCAAAACAAATGAAATCATCGATGAGGAATGTACCAATCCCAAGGAGCCATGTGGTGGCTGCAGATTCGCAAGAAGGGCGCTGGAAAAAGCTCGGCTTCCGAGTGCGGCCAGCACCCCTGCGAATTTGCACCAGGTATGTCTTAGGCCACCTTTCCCCTAAAGAGCGGTGAGCAGCACGTGCTCGTGAAACCTGTTGCTCGTTCAAAGCCAAGGGCTTGCGGTCACAGCTGCCTCACGGCCGCCGGCAAGAGACCAAGGATGGCAGCTTGAAGTCCCGGAGCGTCCTCCGCGGCTGTGGCTCCTGCGGTCTGGCTGACAATATAACTTCTGCGTGCACCTGTCATTGTCTAAGAGGCATGTCTCAAAGGCACAACAGCCAGAAGGTCCAGGCCCTGCAATCTCTGGCTCCTTGGGGATTGTCGGAGGTGAGGCATCCCGTCCGCCTGCCTCGCCACGGACGGGGCTGTCCCTGTGCAAAGTGTGCAGGGCATCCTTCAGCAACAGAGGGTCTGACAGAGGGGGTGGCATCTGCTGGTTTACGTCTCCTGCCCTGAAGCTCTTCCCCTCTTTTTCATCTAAGAAGTATAAATATATCGATGTATTCATTTATGTATATACATACGCTCCCCCTTCCATGCCCCTTCTTTCCGGAAAAATACATCTTGAAGCTCTGCAAAAGCTGTAGAAAACAGTGTGCCTCCAGAGTATAGCAGCTCAGCTCTTCGGTGCCGGCGGCCGGTGCGAACTCCTTATGGTGGCATCCGAGCCGCGTGTGTCCAGTATGCACCAAGAAAGTCACGCAGACAAAACACGTAAAACGTAAAACCTGCTAAGGGCCAACAAACATGGCATAACGTGGCCACAACCGATAAAATAAGTTGTTAGCTGAATCCATGCCCTGCGCTTGCAGGCAAATCAGCATTTTCGATCATGGGGTGCGCCAAATGTCCTCGAACTAATCGAGCAAAACCAAGCACCGGAATCAACATGCACATCCACATGAGTAGGACATAAACTCGAGCAAGTATCACATCGATACGAGTGCTTGGTCGACATCCCCGCGACATGTTGAAGGGATTTGGGAGGGTGGGCATTCCTGAATCAACATGGAGAGGGCAATGAAATCAACATCCCACCCGTCCCGCCCTTTGCTTGAGCACAGGGCGTTCGCCATGCTCACTCCATGCACACAGCAAACAACGAGCTATGACATTCGTCACGCTTCTCTTGTTAGCTGAATCCATGCCCTGCGCTTGCAGGCAAATCAGCATTTTCGATCATGGGGTGCGCCAAATGTCCTCGAACTAATCGAGCAAAACCAAGCACCGGAATCAACATGCACATCCACATGAGTAGGACATAAACTCGAGCAAGTATCACATCGATACGAGTGCTTGGTCGACATCCCCCTTTAGCATACAAGCACGAGTGCATGGAGACATCAACATACCCTTTCATGCCTTTAGGGAAACTCGATCTCAGACCAACGGATCGGCACGCGATGCGACCCTGACTGAATTAATGGTTGCACAACCGCCCTCGAAGGTGCGTCAGCTATGTTAGATGCAGAGGGCACGCGCGCTGTCCAAACAAACAGCCCCGCACTCATGACCACGCGCTGAAATCTTCTAAGAAGATTGTTGTGCGCCTCCAAAGGACTGTACATGGAAATAAGTGACGAGCGGGCGGACTCATTATCAACATACAAGAAGATTCGCTCCTGCTTGATTGAATTGGAAAGCATCTCCACGGCTAGCACAGCAGCAAACAGTTCGAGTAAGCCTATGATCTTCCTGGTGCGTTTTTGCCACCGCTCCATCAGGAACCCAGGAATTTCTTCTGCAAAAAATCGGCTCTCAACAACCTGGCCCACTACAACACGCAAAGCCACCATGCCAATGTATCCACGCTGGTCGCCGTCCTCTAACGAGGCATCTGTGAAGATGATCCAGCGACTTTTGCTCATGCCAACCTTGAGGCATCTGGGCCTGCTGGCATTGAGGTACTCGCTCACCCAGCCCAGCTCTGCTGCCAGGACCTCATCCACTTCTGTGTTTAGCGACTTGCTGGCAGCCCTGCTCTGGAAAGCTCTGAGGTTAGCCGCCAACACTCGGCCAAAGGTATGTGTTTCGGCAAACTGCAGCCTCCCGCGTAGCGCAAGAGCTTGGTGCGATGGGAGCGAATTGCAAGCAAGAATTGCATTGATCTCATCCGAAATTGCAAGCACACGTGAAACTTTGTTGCGAACGACGACATCACCAAGGGCAGATCTTGATAGGTCGAATGTGACACCCAACGCGTCGAAGCACGGCCTCATAGGCTGGCGCTTGGCCTCCTTGACTGAGTACTGCCAACCAAGCATATCAAAGAGCCTCTCAGCCGCTTGCTGCGCGTCATTTCCACAAACTGCCAAGTCAAGTTGGGGGTAATCATCAAAATAATTACCCCAAATCAAGCCGAAGAGTCGCTCGCCGATGCCATGAAGCGCCCGGGCACAGCGGTTAAACCCATACACCGACGCTGACGCCCCGAAGGGCAGGGCCTGCGCCACAAACAACTGCTTTTGCGCCTGAGGGTTTTCAACAGCAAGCACTGAAGTCCACAGCGAAGATTTGGCCACAAGCAATTGTTTGTACGCTGCGTCCAAGTCCAAGGTCCTACCGCACAGCCGCCTGGCTTTGCCATGAACAAACGACGCATGAAGAGCACCCTCTAAAACCTCTCCCGAGCTCAGGATGAGCCGCACATGACCGTCTGAAGAAGCTGCTTCCAGGAACGTGCGTGCAGGCACGGCAACGCCGTCAACACCAGTCAGTTCCAGCTTGTATGACGCTGCAAAGGCTGCGTTGACCAGTGACTCAGACATGTTGTCAATTGGACGTATCTTGCTCTGCTGCTGCTGCTGGAGCCCAAACCTTCTGGAGACAACGAAGAGGGGACCCAGTTTCCTACCGAGCTCCTCCTTGCTGTGTGGGCCCTGCAACCATCCTTTGGCTGTTTCGTCCAAAGCGCTCTGCCAAACAGCACTGCGAACATCTTCCCCGCAATCTATGGGGCGCTTGTTCAGGATCGCGTTCCGCGTCCACCTGGTGGACTTCATGAGTTGCGCATCGCTCATGGATGGCCGAGCGTCAGCCTCAGCAAATTGGCCAGTGCGTCCAGACACACCCGTCAAGGGAACGCCATTGGCAACTAAATCTGCAAGGCCGTCATCATCAATTCCGGCGTCAGCTGCCATTCTCTGCAGGAGTAAAATTTGTTTCTCAGAGATGATTGCAGCTCTATCCGGATCCAACGACGCGTGAATCTTTGCCTCAGCTTCCGCAAGAGAACGCCCTACCTCCTCATAATGTGTAAACAACGCCTCGCGCTCATCACGAATGTAGAGACGCCCTCTAGTGAGGAGGCGAAACATTGCCCTCTTTGCATAATCAGAAACCGTGGAGTCATCGTCAAACGGGTGCCTGACTTTGATTGCTTCATTAACAAACTCATCCGGAGTTCTCCAAATACCCACATCGACGGCAGCGCTGGCATTCGAGCTTGCTGCTGCCTCCGGACTACCCCGCTTAACAGGCAACACCTTGGCAAGCACAGGAATGCCATGAGCTGCTGCAAACTCAGCTGTGACTTTGCCTGGAGGAGGTCTTTCGAGGCTAGGAACCGACCGAATTTCTTTGAACTCCGAGATGATTTGAGGCATCATATTGCCTCGCGGCTGCCGCCCTGCTTCTGTTGCACAAAGTTTAGCCCTTATGCTGGTAGCTGGCAATTCTGGGGCTGCAAAGGGAAAGGAAACTCCAGCTGCACAAGCCCTTTGAGCAATGACATGGGAGATACGTTCACACAAACCTTGCGGATATTCTGCCGCGGCAGCTGCGTGGAAAACCCACTGGCGATTCTCCGCCCCGTGATTCCAAGGCAAGTGCTCGTGGGAATTGTCGCACTGCAATGCCAGGCAACGCATATCCTGTTCGTTTGTGTAAAGTGTGCACCATTTGTCCCGACGGCCGCCGTGCATACATTGTTGGAAGCTCACCGGAAACAACCCAAAATCGCGGATGAGGGCCTTGAACCAGCGTGTGTGCCACATGTGAGAGCGAAGTGGGTGCTCAATGGTGATTATGGCATGCTTTCCCAAAGTGCGGATAATTTTGCAAACATTCCTGTAAATGCAATTAGCAGCGCGAACTCGCTGTAGCTGCACATTCGTGAGGTTCGGAAGGCCATGCGGATACTTGGCAGACCGCAACGGCTGCGAGCACGGCGCGCCTCTGCGCGGCACATGCTGCAGGATCCTGTGCCCACGCGAACGGGTTTCAGTCCCAAAAGGAGGCGCTGCATGTATGTAAAGAATGTGACCCGGCGTATCCAAGACACCTTGCACTTGGGCAAGGCACTCATCATTTGCAAGGTCAATGGGCACAATAGCATGCAGCGGCCTATGGCGATTTTTGGAATGATCCACCGCCACTGTGTTAAAACCTTTCGTTCGAAGCACATTTGAAAGTCGGGCGCACCCAGCGCAGAGTTCTATACACGTAATTTGTGAGCTGGGCGCACCCTGCATGGCACTGAATTTGCGTTTCGACCCAGAAGCCCCAAGGTCGGAGCAAAGGTCACGGTGACGTTGGGTGCTGAACCTGCGAGTGGGCTTGACCACAGCCGTGTCGCATGCACAGATGCCACCCCTTCTCACATCGCTCCCCCGGCCGTGCTGCCTTGCAGCCCTTTGGCAAGTTGAAGTCATAGCAGCACGGTTCGCCAGAAGGGGTTGTGGGAGAAAGACCAATCAAGCTGGACGGAAGACGGATAAAGTTAATCTTCCCCTTGCCCTGCCTCGACCCTTCTTTGCGGGCACTTGGTTGGAACTCTGTGCCTTGAGGTTGCGAATCTGGCCTTGCAAGTTCTCAATGGTTCTTTTCAGTCTGTCACCATCACCCTGGTCCTTGGGCTTTTTCTTGTCGGGCTCATCCTCGTGGCTGTCATTGCGCCTCTTGCCCTGTAAAGGCTGGAGACATAGGCGAACAGCCGGAGCTTGAAGCGCTGTCTTCAAGGCCTTATCCAGGGGCTGAACTCCATTCACAGCCTTGATGCCGGATCTGGTCTCGCGCATCATGAACTTGAACAATTCCAAATCAGCACGGTGGACCTGCTCAATGTTAGGCTTGTTGTAGCCCTCCGGCGGTGGTGAAGTGTATGCCTCCAGAAGGACCTGGCTCCACTTCTCAAACTCCTCATAGTCAACCAATCGCGCTTGGTCAAACGCCAAACTCCTCCGCTGCAATGCGAACTTCAGCTTGAGGTCCGTGTTGTAATCAGCTTTGAGAACCTCTGCCACCTTGGTCTCCTTGATAACGCCGCTGGCGTCTGGTTTCCACACAGGATCGCTCTTCAGGCCCATCAGTTCCTGGTCGCGCTTGGTGCATTCCTCCCAGCGCACGTAGCGGAGCTGCCCCTCCTCAGCCATTTGAAAGACAATATCTATGAGGCGGTGGGAGCGGAGGGTTCTAGCTCCCCCGTCAACTCCAAGCCTTTCAGCCGCTTGCACTGCTCGGTGTAGCGGGAGGTCCGCTCGGCGTGCGCCAAGCACCGAGGCGCATCACCATCCTTGCGCTCGAGCCGCGTGCGCATGTCCGCAGCCGCCAGGGTGTAAGCTTCGAACACCAAGCGCCTGATGACCGGCAAACGGTCATCAGGCGCAGGGTCCTCGCCAGTGATCTTGCTTGCCAAGACTTTTAATGGGCCATCATCAGACTGCCCAGGAACATAGTTGCTGGCAAAGGCCAGCCTCCCAAAGGTGTGGAAGCGCATCGCTTTCAGCTTTGTCAGCTCGGCGTCCAAGATTCCAACTTCAGTGGCTCGCGCCTCAAACTCTTGCTGCCGAATCCAACATGGCCGACTTCTTCTTTTCTTCCTAGAACGAGCCTGTTGCTGCGGTTTGCGGACATTATTCATACATCGGCCAGCTGAGCACATACTCAGGACACTCGGCATCAACATTGTGCAGGTGTTGAGTCCGGCACAGGACACGCATGCGCTGCTGCGCCGGAGCGATTCACAGGCAATTCCTGTGGCGGCACAAATAGGTCTGGTCAGCCACACCGTTATAAAGCACAAGGTGTTCCGCAGCTTTCACAGACCAATCAACATGAATGATGCGAGACCCCACGCCTCGTACATTTTAAACACGCAGCAGCGATGACATCAACATGGTGAAATCATGCATGGCTTAACCATTACACATTTACATTGCCCCAGCAGAAGCTGCAATGGGGCCAGGCTTTGTCAGGGTCGCCATGGAACCTGACGTATGACAAGCCCAACATTCTGCCACACGCAGTTTTGTTGCTATCCTCAATATGCTCGAAATGCAGGACTTTCGTTCTGGAGTGTCTGTGAACCATACCAACTGCAGCGTTGGGAGAAACGTTACGGCAGTTGCCGTAACCTTCATTTGCGTGTGCAACATCAGCCATGGCATGCTCTGCCGATTCGCTGTCTGACTCTGCAGCATCTGAGTCTGGCTCTGACTCGTGGTTCTCCTCAGCCCCGAAAAGGCCTTGCACACATGGCTCTATCACCGGATCAATATCACGGCTTTCCTGACACAGGAGATCCCACATTGCTTGAAACTCTGCCTCGTCGGAGGATGAGAGGACCTTGTCCAAGTCACACCCAAGGAACCTCTCAGCAATTGCACGAAGATTCATACTTAAATTGGACTGCATTTGGTTCAGCGCAGAGATGAAGTCTGGCCCCTGCGGAAATTCATCGCCCATGGGCGCACAAGGCAGAAACGAACCCTCCTGAATTTTGTTGAGAACAACCATCATGTGCCGAATAGGAGCAGCAAGTGCTTTGCGCTGATAATTGATTGCACTCACATGTTGGGTCAAATGATACCCCAGAAGTTCCGAATAGGTGTAGTCACAACCATGCACACTCACGAAGGTGAGGATCGTGGCCTTTAATGAATGGCTCCTAACCCCATCTATGGCAGATTTGTCGAAGAACCTGCCCAGAAGACAATGCAAACCCTCGGTGACTTCGGTGCTTGACACTTTGTCGTACAGGTCCAGATGCACCGTAGCCCTGGAGGGTAACAATCCAAAGCTTCTGTCTGAGGCTTTCGACTCCAGTGTCGGAATCCCGTTGAGCCCCAGCATTTTGCGTGTCTGGACGAACGCCTCAAACCAATCTGTGCCTAATATCCCAGTGACAGGTATAACAACTGGTAAAAATGAGCATTGCTTCTCCTTGCTCCTTGCAGTCTTGACTCTCATGAGTGAGCCCTCTGCAAAGTTCCCCAAGACTGACAAATGCACCAGCCGATTGGCGTCAGAAACCCTCAGTCTGCCATAGGCACAAACAAGACAGAATCCGGCCAGGGCTCGCAGATAGGTGTCACACTCCATGAAACATGCAAGCTCCAAAACGCCCAGCATGTCCGTTGTTAGCTCGCTTGCTTGCTTTAGAGGTCGCTTGCCCAGGTACATCTCCAGAGCTGCGCCGCGACATCTTGCTGAAACAACGCACTCTGCAGCGCCTTCCACACCAACAACCTCTTGCGCAAAGGTAAGTGAACTCAGGAAAGTTGTCCCTCTCGAAGCCGGACACGCTCTGCTTCTCAAGTCACACAAATATGCATACACCTGAGGCTCACGGAAAGGAAGGAAGTCCGTGCCGCTCAGATTGGCGTCGCACCAACTGAAGTACAACGCGAAGCACGTGTTTTGAGAGTGCTCGTTGCCTTGGACCTTAAGGCGTCTGCAATCGTGACAAAGCACTTATTTGACTCCGCTAAGTTCTCTGTCTCACTCATCAGCTGACACCCCAACGTTGAAGCCGCCGGCGCGCGAAGAACAAGCTCTGCCCATCGGAGAAGGACTCTCGACCTTTCGTGATCTGCGCTGAAACTAGCAGCACGCAAACAACTACGCTTGACCATCTGCTTCTTAACAACCTCAGTCATCTGCGCAGTTTGGCCAGATTCCGGCTCGCTCGAAAGAGGTGGCAGACTTCTGGGCACTTTAGCTGGTCTGAGCCATGGAGTTGGGTCGTCACCAAATACTGAGTTCAGCAAACCATTCAGCTCCCACGGCATTTTCATACTGTGAATATGGCTTCCCATGGCTGTGGCACTACTCAATGCCCTTTCCACTGACTCATTGCGGGGAGCCGCAACTCCGACATCAACCTCAAACCCCCGCTTCATTCCTGAATCAACATGGAGAGGGCAATGAAATCAACATCCCACCCGTCCCGCCCTTTGCTTGAGCACAGGGAATAAGATATCAAACAAATAACCACCACCACCACCACCACCACCACCGCCACCACCACCACCACCAAACAACAACAACAACAACAACAACAACAACAACAACAACAACAACAACAACAACAACAACAACAACAACAACAACAACAACAACAACAACAACAACAACAACAACAACAACAACAACAACAACAACAACAACAACAACAACCACAACAACAACAACAACAACAACAACAACAACAACAACAACAACAACAACAACAACAACAACAACAACAACAAACAACAACAACAACAACACAACAACAACAACAACACAACACCAACAACCCAAAACCAAACCAACCAACCAACCAAACCAACCAACCAACCAACCAACCAACAAACAACCACCAACAACAACAACAACAACAACAACAACAACAACAACAAACAA